CATTAATCACCACTAGTACTTACCCATGCACATCTCCTGAGAGGCTTTTACCAGCTGTGGGAGGCATGGATCTAAAAGATAAGTGATTAAGCTCACATTTCCTAGCTACCTGTCAAAAACTACATGCTCAAGCCAATCCCAAATAACTGAGCATGAATGTATCCTGGGCATCTCCATTGGCCCAGTGTCCTCACCAACATTCAACTCTGAATGAATCTGAGAGATTTTATCTGCCATATAAGCAGAGTCCCCAGCATGCCCCTGAAGATAGATGTTTGAATTCTCATTACTAAGAAGGAATTGGGTCACCCTGAAGGTAATTAGTGCAGAAAACATCAGGAATATTAGTTGGTGATTTTAATGCCAGACAACAAAATCCTACTCCTACCTTTAATGCATTAAATTTGATAAGCTTCTTCAACTTGGCCTTCAGCATTCCTTCCATAATGGCATTACACAATAGGAAATTAGAGATCCAATCTTTTTTAGCCATCAGATATGAATTAAAGAACTATTCCTCAGGACCCAAAATGAGAATTCAGTTTTTGGGACTCTAGAAGAATCAGTATCATTGACTATAATTTAATATGCCATACACATACACAAAAAAGATGGAAATCACAGAAGGAGATTAGAGATAATATTCTAACAATCATAATGGGACAAATCATTGTCAGTGGTCTTTTTCCATGTGGAGGTAAAGTTACCTGCCAAAATTATTGAGCAGAATTTACTTATATGTTCTCCATCCCAACAATGATCACTTCCTACTACATGGGTTATAAATAGTCCTTGATTTATGAACACAATTGAGCCCAAAATTTCTGTTGCTAAGCAAGATGGTTGTTCAGCTTATGTTTTGCATAAAATAGGGTGTTTTGCCCAATTGTACAACCTTTCTTGCCACAGTTGTTAAGTGAATTATTGCAGTTGTTAAGTTAGTAGCACATTTGTTAACTGAATCTGGCTTCCCAATTGACTTTGCGTGTTAGAAGGGGGCACGGCAACTGACATAAATACATGCCAGTTGCCAATGTCCAAATTTTGGTCATGTGACCACAACGATGCTGCAACAATTGTAAGTGTGAAAAACAGTCATAAATCACATCTTTCAGTGTTGTTATAATTTTGAACAGTCATTAAACAAACAGTTGTAACCTGAGGAGTACATGTACTTTCTCTTCCCCCTCCCCCAGCTAAACAATCTCAGAATGATTTGATAGGGGTATATACATGTACAAAACAACAAAGGCAGTCCATAGTGAGTACTGTAGTAAATTCCCAGCTGCTTATCTCCCCTGAAGTAGCATTGCTTAAACAGTTCATTGTGCTAAGAATGCCCATGAAATCTAATAAATGTACTGTTAATAACTAATGATTTCAGAAGATTCACTTAAATATATCTCTGCATCTATAAGAAGAAAATTCACAAATAAACTAGCCAAAATCAATGTAATGATTGTCTTTAACACCACTGATCCACAAACTCACAATTGATATTAATGCCTATACTGTGTCCAATGCACTGTTGTTCAGGATCCTGTTTTGTGCCTATTCTGATGATTCACATTTTGAAACCATTCCAATGTACTTCTTCAGATAGAACTTGGATATTCTTCTATAGCAGCTCAAATGATTATCTCATTTGACCTTTTTAGGTGTATCCCAGCTTGGTTTTCGCAGGTAACTTTACATCCACATGGAAAAAGACCACTGGCAATGATTTGTCCTATTAATGATTGTTAGAATATTAGCTCTAATCTCCTTCTGTGATCTCCATTATTTTTGTGTATGTGTTTACAAGTTTATATTTACAAGTCCATTGGTTAATGATTGTTCTTCAAATTACTACAGAACTGAAAAAAGTATCTTTATACCTGTCCTCAGATTTATATCCATTGCAGTGACCAACAATCACAAGGCTGTCATTTGTGAGCTTCACAATCCACTTCCAACAACTAAAAGCAATGGAGAAGCTGGCAGTAAAATTGCAAATTGTGGTCATGTGATATCTCACTTAACAACACATAACAATTCACTTAACAAGCAAGTGGAACTTACATCATAGGTACAGTGCAGTTACTGGATGTTTCACTTAACAATGTCACTTAACAATGGAGTTGCCAGTCCCAACTGTGGTTGTTAAATGAGGACTGCTTTTACTGCTTTTGGCTAAGCTAAGCAAGCAATTTATCAATGCTTCAAATCCCCCCTTCTTTCTAAAAAGCAAGCCACAGCAGCAACCAGTTACAGGATTATAGTCCTTAGCATAAATATTTTTACCTTTCTCTTTCTCTCATTACCTCAAACCTCAAACGCTTTCTTCTTCCACCCCCTCTTCTCCCACACTGTGATTTTCAGCCTCACTTGGGGATATGCAGTTTCTTCTTTTGCCACACAGGGTCTTTCCCAGTCCCTGAGTTAAAGTACTGTCCCCACATCCTTTTCTCAGCACACAGCTACATTGGCCTGAATGTTGATTATGTTGCTAATCTCTATTCCTCTTATATTTGCCAACGTTCTGACTCATAATTGAATAGTGTTGTTCTGATTTAGTGTGTCTAGAGCTCATGAGAGGCCAAGGAATGGATTGATTCCTTTGGCTTTGCTGTTCTCTATCTTTTTCAAGCTAGTGGGAAAATCTTTTGCCCATCATTGGCACTGCAGGAGTTCAACAAGTCTAGTTGCATGACCCTATATCCTGTTTGATCATAATCCAAAACAAATAAAGTTTTTTTAAAAAAGCAGTGTCACAAAGGCAGCTGAGTCATAAGCACAATTTCTCCATAAGCTTTTCCCTCCATTTCCACTCTGATATTATTTCAGGGTTATACTGGAATGGCAAGGACCATCAAGTTGATTGCTCCCATCAATTTCTGAAAATGGAAACATCCAAGTATCATATTGTATTGATCAAGGAGAGAACCAATCTAGAACTAAGGAGAAATAGTCTAACAGTGAGAACAATTAATCAGCAGAATGACTCGCTTCCAGTGGTTATGGGTGCTCCAACACTGGAAGTTTTTAAGAAGACATTGAACAACCATTTTTCTGAAATAGTATAGGGTTTCCTGCTTGAGCAGGGGGTTGGACTAAAGATCTCCAAGTCCCTTCCAACTCTGTTATTCTGTTATTCTATACACCCACTCCTCATTTAGTGACTGACTTCTGTTATAAGAATCAGATTGTTAGGATATATGACTATGACTGATAAAAGAGAGAGAGAAAGAGATTGCAAAGATCTCTGCTTGCTTCTGCCTGATCTGTCTTATATGGATAAAGTTCTCATAAAGCTTAGCTAACATTACTCTCACTCCAATGCATGTGATTGTCATGTATATGAAACCTGGTCATAAATATGCTTATCAGTAAGAAAATGAATTATTTATTACCATCATATTTTGAATGCTCACTAACATGATGATCCCCATGAGTGGGGATACAAACCAGCATGCCCTTAGGTCAGGGAACCATTTGTATAGGATTTCCAAAGGAAGGCAAAGAGAATCCCTGTATACTGTAAAAACATAATATTATGTTGATTTTGTACAAATTTGAAGCACAGCACTGTTCTGTTTGATTCTTTCAGGAGACAATAGGGAATAGTGGCAGAAAAGACCAGCCAAGGAGTGAATGAGAGGAGTCTCCACATCAGATTGAATTGACCAATAAATGCTTTCCTGATCTCTGAATTGATCAATAAATGCTGCCTTATTGGTCACCTTCAGCATAATGGCAAATAGATGGCATAACAATGATGCAACAGATTTTACATACCTTGTGGCTTTCGTTCCCTATTGTCTTGGAAACTAGGGTTCAAGTCCATCTCCAGCCATGGATGCCTGCAAGGTGACTAAGCCAGTCACTTGCTCTCAAAGCAACCTACTTCACAGGGTTGTTGTGTGGAAAAATGGATGGGATATAAAACTAGTATCTGAATAAATAACTGTTGAATTTTTTTTCTGGAGAACTGCTGCCCCTTTTCTCATATTTATAATACACAAATTATTCAGAAAGGCTAGGAAGGCACCACACATGAATGTCCCACCAATACCCAAGATTAAGTCAACCAGCCTTACCCACAAGGTAGCTGCAGTTGCTCTATCCAGCGAACCAACCCACCTTGGAGATGGTGTGCTGAGACCCAGGCCCTTCAACTGGGGCTGATTATAGTTTAGGACATGGGTATCCAACCTTGGCAAGTTTAAGATTTATAGACTTCAGCTCCCAGAATTGCCCAATCAGATACCCTTGGTTTAGGCGGGTCTTCAGAGAACTTAGTTCTCAGATCTTGCTTGTTTTCAAATGCATTGTTTACAGAAGGGAAGTTATGCCTTCTAAGAAATATTTTTGTCATTCTGCTCGAAATCATTTTGTGGCAAGAGCATCTAAAATTGTTTTAAGAATGTAAGAGGATGGAAGATTCAGAAGGAACATTCCAGAGTGGATTAGTTTTGTCCTATATACTTTATTAAGAAAAGAAAATGGTCATCGTGGGGATAATCTACTTATCCCTCTTGGTCTCCTTCCTTTTTATATGTCTTCAGGATTTTTTCTAGATTAAAAAAAGCTCCACAAACACAAGGTGTACATGAATTTAAAAGTAAATACATCCCGTTGCCATATATCATGAAGGCTATTTCTCTAATAGACATCACCACAAGAATATAGCTTCCAACAATCTGTTCAGCCTTCAAGGGAGTAAATTCTTCTTATCAGTTGCACCAGAATACTTTCTCCAGTAGAGCAGGAAACATCTGAGGATATTTAAATCTCTCTTCCAAGTTCTGCTTCAATATTGACTGTACAAGTGGAGAAACCATGGTTAAATCTTTGGCATCGAGGGCAATAAATCATATACGTTTTACATGCAAGCATGTTGTCAACAAGAATAAAAAGGCGGTCCTTATATACAGCTTTTCTTCAATGCTCATTCAGAGCTTCTTTTCCCTGACAAACCGCCACTCACACTTCCTCTCTGCATCTGCTTGCAAAAGACCATGGACAGGGGTGAGTATGAAAGTTACCTTTTCTGAGAGTTCAACTCCTGCATATGTTCTTGATATCAAAGGAATAACAAGTGTCTCTGATCATGTGCAGAGTGAAATCCTCTCACCTTAGAATAACTGCTTATTTCTGCTCACATAAATCAGAAAGATAGACAAGGTCTCATACTGCTTCTCTTAGCTTCCTTAAGATTATGAGGAGAACTGACCATTTCAAATGATAAAACAGAAACAGATTTCCATCTATATAATGTTTACATGTTATAATCAAATGTTGTTCTCTTTTAAAGAGTATCAAGATGACATGGTTGTTCTCTAATGACTGAAATATTTTATTATATAAATTTATATTTATATACATATATTTAAATACATTCACATACACATTACATGATATGTCATCAATTAGAAAAAAATTGCAAATTGCAAAACAGATTTTTTTAAAAAAATCTACCAATCTATATTATGACTGCACTGCTATCTATATATTAAGACATTTAGTATATTAGCTTTTATGGTTTTATTTTGCTGTTTTCCAGTTCCTTCATATATTACCTTATTACACTGTAATACACTTGATATTTTATTATTTTGATCATATATATTATATGTCTTATCTGGGAATCACAGAGGAGCATGCAGCATTGGGTCTGGCTAGCATCATGAAAGATCTCCCCTCTTTAATTAACTTTTAACATTGAATTTTAATCGTTCTTGCTTTTCTTAACATTTTATACGTTGTTTTTATGCTTTAATATTTCATTTGTACACCACTCAGAGTTCCTCTGAGAGGGAGATGGGAGGTTTCAACATTTGATAAATAAATAAAACATAAATTATATGGATGAGAGCGGTTTAATTATAATTACATTTTTAACTTGATTACATTTATTGTTATTGCTAGTTGAAAATGTTCATTTGTAGTTATCTCATAATTCCCAGATTAGTCATTTATAATTGTATAATTCATTTGTTTAGCTTTTGGGCATAACTTGCTTCTTATGTTACATTATTAATATTACTATTGATGTAATTGTGTATTTATTTAAAGGGGGTATATGGCTGATCATTTTATCCAGTATAATTCTGGCCAGCTCACAACATAAAAAAATGACAAAGCAGAGAAGAAAATGAAATTGTCCAACCAATGTTCCATAGCATTCTTATTCTAAATACAAATGCATTCGGCAAAATTCCTATTCTAGCCCAATGCTTGAGGGAAGGGCCAGGTCTTAACCTGGATCCTTTCTTAACCTTATACTAGCAAAAATCAAAATAAATGTATTAAATTGAAAAATAACAAATTCAGACAAGATGTTTTAAGAAAATAGCTCCAAAGCTGAAATATGCCTAAAAAGCCAATTTAGAGAGTTTTCTATTTCAGTTTACTTTATTTTGGTTTTTGAACCCTTTCAGTTGGGTTGCTTTGGACAAACAAAGCTGCTTTTTTGAGTCTAAAGTAGATAACAGTCAGGTCCAATTTTGAACCAATTTTGGCTTTTCAGAAGAAAAGTTGGAGGCAAGAGTCATGCAGGAGTGGGATAACTGTCCTTATGGGTCTGTAAGCCAGGAATGTACTTGGTAGGGATGCAAGTCCCCTATCCACCACTTTTCAACACCTTGTCAAAAGAACAATCTAGTGAATCAATTTGCTGCCCAACACCTTAGAATCAATTATCTAAGAAAGTAGGAATCTCCAACCGTACCTAAATGATTGCTGTTATTTTGGACATGACCCTTCATGGACTTTCCCACCCCCATTAAGAAATGGCAATACAAAATAACCTAGGGTACCCTTCACTTCCTGGTACCCTCCAGCTGGATTGGGCAAGATTTTGAGAATTGTAGCCCAGTCTATCGAGAAGGCACTAAGCTGTGGAAATCTTGGCAATCCAATCTGTCTTCGATTTGGGTCTAGTTTGCTCAGCAAGTAATGCAATGATGGTTCTCTTTCTTTCTCACAAGAGGGCTTCTAACGTTGTATTCATCTGTTGTATTCTCTCCTCCTAGATCAACAGCTGAAAGCTGCCTTATTTTGGAAGCTTCCTCTACTTTTCCAGGTACATCATAAAACTGATGAAAACACTATGCACCTTCTAACTCCAGCCTTTCTTTGCTCACTGCTATTGCTGTTGGGAGAGAAGCAGGGTAAACCCACCCCCTTCAACTCTCTATGTTCCTTGCCCATCCTTTTCTTTGGGTGCCATGTTATAAATATTATAAATGTGACATTGGGGAATAGATTGGGGAATGTAGATGAGAGGTCCTCAGTCATCATAACTTAATATGTCATATGAATTAAGTCACTACTATGGATTATGACTTAACAATAACGTTGAGCTCAGCCACTGAACCATGGACAAATCAGGTTATGGCCACTGGCTCACTGTTTTTACATGTTGTTTTGAAGCCATTTTAACTTGTTTTTTGTGCTTTTTGTACATAAATGTTAATGAAAAGAAGGCTTTGCACAACTAATCACTGTCAGAGGGGGTGATTCTTTTTTCCTCAAAACTAGCTTTTATACTTTCCAGAAGTATCTTTTTTCATCATTTAGAAAATAAAAGATGAGATTAGTAGACTTTTGACCTGACAAAGCATGGAACTTCTTGTTTTGAAATTAGCCAACACTGACTTGTTACTTCTCAAATGTATTTCACTATGACCTCTTCCCCTTGACCCACCCTGCATGGCATAGACTAGAGCTGATGGGTTTGCAGTTGAACTCATGAGGTGAAGCTTGCTAAGCATAAACGTAATTGCTAAACAACAAACCAACCTCACAGGCTAATCTTAATGAAAGCTATGTGGTTAGGTTGGTGGCAAAGTTTCACTTAAATGCTGTAAATTAATTCTTCTTCTTTCTTTTGGCACACTCACTTTCACACAGGTAGAGAGAGCCCAAGGATAGTTGCCTTGTCCTCTTTCCTTTTTAGGCAATGTTGCTTCAAGTAAACCCACAGGATGTGGTTCTTTCACTCAACCCAGTGCAGCATAGTTCAGTAACTGCAAATCAAATCTTTGATTTGCACCCAAAGCTAAAACCAAGACCAAAAATTTGAACTGCTTTTTTTTCTACCAGGGATGGATTTTGTACCCCCATCATTAAGGGAGTACAAATATTTCAATCTGGAGTTCAAAAGAAAATGCCTAAAATATATATTGCTATGAGCAGTAAAAACCTATGCTTTGTACCAGTTTTGTACCATTTTATTCTACCAAGTCTGAGATTTATGCATCTGTATACTGTACAATGGATAAATCACATTGTCTTGTGCCTTTTGTAAGGAGGTAAGAATAATACCAACACTGACCCCAACCAGCCTTCCAGATTTGCACCAATGTCATGCTGTTTTGTTCCACTAAATCTGTGTCTTGTACCCAACATATGGATTCATACAAAACCTGGATGATGATGAAGAAGAAGAAGACAGTTCAAACATAAGGCAGGTGCCTCCTCCAATACATCATTTTTTTCATTCTCCTCCACCAACTCCACCTGTCCCTGTGATGTCCTCTTTCTACATCTCTCTGTTTGCTCTTCCTAAGTCCCCCTCTTTTTTCCTCCATCACTCCACTATTTTAGCCCCTACTTTTGCATCTCTTCTATTTCCAGTTTTCTGATACTTTATCCTATTCTGCTCCCATTATTTCTTCCCTTCATTGCTCCATCTTTATTCCATCTTCAATCAAAAATTGGGTCAATGTCATTCTTATTTTTCTCACCATTTGATTAGTAATTATCCATCATTCTGTGAACTTCTTCATAGAGCCAACTGTTCTACCTGTTTTAAACTTCCAGTGAAACTAAATCTTAGATGACCTTTGGGAATTTTTCAAAATGAATGTCACAAAAAATCAGTTTTCCTTGCTTTGGCCAACCCAAATCTAATTTGTTTTAGTGCTGCTACCCAAGCATAACTAAGTTTCACTACCCATAACTGAAACATGTTCTGGTAACATTTTTTTAATGTTATGCCATATTACTTTAGCCTTATCTCTAGTTTAATTTAAAGGGTGTTAAAGTCAACTGTAAATATTCTATTCTCAAACATTGTTTGTCTTTTTTCTCTGACACATGTTTTCTTCATAGATCGAATTTAATACACTATGACAATAATGTAGCTGATGGTGCTGTTAACTATGGGATCTACTCAGCTCCTATAGTCACTTCAGATTACTGTAAGAATGCTTCCTTCTCTCCAGGTCATTGAGTGGCTTTCCGGGGTCCCTTTAGCTAGGCTTTAGGGTAAATCTGATACCTGGTTCTCACACTGGTATCTAGCTTCACATTTCACAAAATACTTGCTAAAAGCTGGTTTCTGCCAGTTAAGTATTACAGGTTGTGTTACCATTGAATGTAATGCAAGTCTTAACTGCTTTTGCCAGAAAGGGCTTTCACATGACAGTGCTTTTTACTCTTTCTATTACACTATTCGGGTGGGGGCACAATTATGCCCACTTATTTTGGCTTCATGGCTATCCACACAATATTTTGAGGCACTGCTGCCATAAGGATAAAATTGAATTCACTACCAACATTCCTATTCTATTGCAGCGCCAGTCACTTTCCTTAATTTATCCTACATTAAAACAAGGACAGTATCACTTGTTGGACTCATTACTGTGACAGAACAGGGCTCAGTGATAGAAAAATCAAGTGTTATATTTTATTTCATTTTAAAGCCCAATGTTCAGCACTTAAATGGGATCATCTGGCTTTGCCCTTCATAACCTTTGTGAGGAATATTAAATTTTTCTATAATATTAGTTGTTATCTCAGAAACAAATCAAGAACAGTCTCTGCTATTGTTAATATCTAATGCCATTTATGGTTTCAATGAGCTGTTTCTGGAACATTTGGGGGAACATTTATAAGCTACCTTGCAAGAGACCATAAATAAGTATTGTTTGTAATTTAACATAAAATCTTCACTAACAAAATCCCAGCTTTACACACTGATCCTTTATCTGTCCTTGCTACATAAACAGCATTCTTCTTTTTAAGTATTCTAATTCCTGCCCAAAAGTAACCTGTTTTGAGTATTTATTTATTTATATTTATACGGCAGCTCATCTCACAGCTCTCAATTTCCACCCCACTGCTGAAATGAAGTGATACTTACTCATTTTTGATTCAGCCTGATTCAGAATAACAGCCTCATATTAGCTCTCTCCATTGATGATCCCAATCTCTCAATCATAGCAGTCCCTTGACTTCTTTTCAAACCTAATAGATTTTACACCATGAGATTATCTTTAGACCATTGTTCCTTGGCTGCTTGAACATGTATGGGCTTCAACTCCCAGAATTCCCAAACCATCATATTGGTTGGGACAATTCTAAGAGTTGAATTCCACACATCTTCCAGTGATCACAGTTGAGAAAGACTGCCTTAGATAATGTCTGATTAATGAGTGGAAGAGTACTTTAGTACAGGCATAGCTAAAGATGATTTAAATCTTTCTCATTCCCCAGATATGGATGAGAAATGAGAAAAACATTTCAAAGTTTTATGAGAAAACCATAACAAAGGAAATGTGGTGACAGTAAAAAAAAAAGAGAGAGAGAGTTGTCAGGACTTGTTTGTACTATGGTTAAATATAAGCAGGGAAAGTTCCATAGACTACAGTCCAGTGTCTATTTACCTTGTAGTAATAATACCATTTCAATTCAGGGGGACTTTACTTCTGAAATAAATATTTTTGATATGGCTACCATCCTCCCATCTTGAATAAATCTTTTTCCTGTTCTATTACATTCTTCCCCACTCTATGTATAATTGAATAGAAACTCTAACAATTTCCAACCAGAAGATTCTAAATTTTGGGAATTGCTATCAACACACCAACTTGTAACGATTTGAGAAAGCTCTTTTATAAAAGCTTTCACTGAAAATGAAATCTAAGGGTTCAGACAGACAAAATATTACTTGCATACCTTTTTTCCCCTTACATATTTTTTTAAAAAATAATCGGTGTTCATGTGCAGGTAAATCGGGAATCTGAGGGAGTTATTTGTTTGTTTGTTTAATTTCCTTAGCCATCCATCTCAATCCAATTGACTCTATCTTCTCAGCACTTCTTTTGTCATCTAGATATAATATTTGCTTTGGAATGAAAGCTTCTAAGTTCCACTCTAAGAGAGATTTTGCATATTTAACCCTTAGTAAAATCTGGTTGAGCTAGAACCTGAAAGTAGATGAGAAGAGCTGAAAACATAACCTCTGACAGAGTAAATGGGATTAAGAATAAAAGTGATGAAATAATTTGGAATGAAACTGAAGTGCAACAAAGCAGGAGAGAGTATTGTGGAGATGTCTGTGGAAATGGTAATGATATGACAAAAAATGGAATTGATATCAAAGTTGTAAGTATTAATGTCCTGGAAAAAATAATGGAAAAAAGTGAAAATTGCTATGACAACATTTAAAAAATATTATAGCAGCAGGTATAGATGATCCATCTGGAAAAAAAATGTTAAAACATGGGTGTGATTTAATTATATAGTAGTTGTGAAATATTTTAACATCAGTTTGAAGGCTACTTCCATGCCAGACATTTGGAAGAATGCGATTATTGCTCCCTTTTACAGAGAGATAAATAACTTTGCAAAAAGGAATATTTGTTGATTTAGAGAAAGTATCTGAATTACGTTTAGTGTGAATATGGAGTTGAAAGTTGGCTGCTGAACATAATGACCCATATATGATTAAAATAAAACTTTATGTGAGGATAAATAGAATGTTTAGCTAATGATTGAACAATGAACAGAAAATATAATAAGACTATGATTGAGGATATGCCCTTGAAAGTTTAGTGCTTGTGATGACATTTGAGATGGATGATGGCTGATAATGCACATGTATATGTATATTTCAACCAGATAATACAGCACTACAACCCAAACAATTTGCAGCAAATTTTAAACTGTATCAAATTCATCACAGGATATGAATTTGAATATTAATGTTCCAGAAACTCTACTGTTTGATAGGGAAAATGATTTCAAGGAATACATAAATGGTGAGAACTGTAAGTAGATGTATTTGTATGCCATGATAAAAGGTTACTAAAGGTCAGAAAATGCATGGACAAATGTTAAAATTCTGCAAATAGTGGTAGAAAAATAATGAATGTTATGTGGCCTATAAGGTTTGTAAAAAAATTAATGACCTGTGCATAAAAAGGAGCTTTTACCTTCTTCATTATTGGGAACTGAGAACTGGCTAAGCACGGGAAATTAAATGCAGTAAGAATGGTTTTCTTAAGAATTATGTATGATTTTTAAAAACTTTAAAAATAAGTGACGAGTGAATGAATGAATGAAAGAAAGAAAGAATGAATGAAAAGTACCAAAAACGTACACTAGAATTAAAAAGGATTGAACATAAGTAAATGTAAGAAGGTAGAGTGAAGGTACAGAGGAAGGAGAAGACTCAGAAAACCTTGCTACAGTAGATGAGATCTGCAAAAAAAGCCCCCAAAAAACAAAAAAAGGAAGACAAGAAGCTTAAAGAACAAAAGGCAATTTGATGTAACATGGGTGATTGGCAAGAACAGAAGAGTGAAAAGTAGTATAATGAATAGTGTTGGGTTTAACTAGGTTTAGTTTGATTCTTTTATCCGTTGCTTCTAATTTCTTTTGCTCCTGCTCCTCAATATTTTTCTGTACCTTGCATAAAGCTACTTACTCCAGGGAACAATAGGGAACAATATGATGGGTAAGTGTATGCATGCTATTGCATAAATATTATTCCACATAGTTTCCCCCTCCCCCACTTTATATGTTTGCATAAGTTCTTCTGCAGGGTCAGTTTTGATTACTACTTGAATGGGGAAACTCCAAGAAATACAAAACGTTTGGGTAGACAAAAATACCTCCAAAGTCAGTTACAAAGCATTTTTGCATTGTTGCTGAGAATACTGCATGAGCTTGCCCATTGTCATCAGGAATAAAACTCAGTTCAAAAGAGTTTACTTACTCTCCAAGTATGTGATGAAACATTATCCCTTCATCTTAGGAATTTTGGAAAGTGTAGACTAAAAACTTCTAACAGTAGCCTCATTAAATCATAATTCAACTGAAATAAAACTAATATTAGTTTGTCATGTTTATGGTCCCTAAAGAAGGACACTCAAAGAACAGGCCATTCTTACCTGAAGATTGTTTCCTTTGCAATACAAAAAAAAATCACAACTGAAAGAATACAGGGAGATAAAAATAACCCATGTTGTATCTCCCTTCCAGTTCTGCAAAGGTGACTTTGTGATTAATAGCAACTCCAGCTTTGATGAAGATGTTACTAAAGAGAGCCAAGTCACACTGGATTACATCATTGAAGATTTTTCCAATCTTGACTACAGTCAGTTTGAAGAGATGTGCAAGAAGGATGAGATCCGGAAATTCCGTGCTATTTTTCTTCCTGTTGCGTATTCCTTGATATGCTTTGTGGGACTGGCAGGCAATGGTTTGGTTATGGCAACCTATATCTATTTCAAGAGGCTCAAGACAATGACTGATATCTATCTATTCAATCTGGCCTTATCAGACATCTTCTTTCTTTTGACTCTCCCATTTTGGGCTGTCAGTGCAGCCAAGCACTGGATTTTTGGGGACTTTGCATGCAAAGCAATTTACCTCATCTGCCAGATGAGTTTCTTCAGTGGCATGCTGCTGCTTCTCTCCATCAGCATTGATAGATATTTTGCCATTGTTCAGGCAACTTCAGCCCACCGCCTTCGGTCCCAGAGAATGTTTGCCAGCAAAGTTACCTGTTTCTTGATTTGGACATTGGCTTTTATTTTTTCTGTCCCAGAAGTGGTCCATACCAGTGTTTATGAACATCCTTTATACCCACCACAATGTTTCATCACCACAGGTGATCATATAGCCTTAACTATCAGTATAAGAGTATCTCAGATGGTCTTTGGGTTTTGCTTACCTCTATTTGTAATGACTTTCTGCTATTGTGTCATCATCAGAAATTTGCTGCAACCCCATAGCTTTGAAAAAAAACATGTAATCAAAATCCTTGTTGTAGTCATGATAGCTTTTGTTCTCCTTCAGCTCCCCTACAATTGCATCATAGTCCTCAGGACCATTTCAAAATACAACCGAACCACTGGCCAGTGCGATGCCATCAAGACCCTAGATGTGGCTAATGATGTGACTTACAGCTTGGCTTGCTTCCGCTGCTGTCTCAATCCTTTCCTGTATGCTTTCATAGGAATTAAGTTCCGCAATGATGTCCTCCGACTTCTTAAAGATCTGGGCTGCATCAATCAAAAGCAGCTCTGGCAATGGTCAACAAACCAGAAGAACAGTAGAAGTTCTGTTCCCACAGAAACTGATACCACAACTTCTTTCTCCCCATGAGATGCTGGAACTCTGCATAATCACAGATGTTAATATCAGAGGGGTTTCACCATCCATCATCAGAGATGGAACCAGGAGATCCTTTAGGTCTCACTTATTGGGAGTATTTTCACAGAACCTGAAGAGACCCGACTCTTCTTTCTCTTCTCCCACTGGTCAACTCAATTTATCTAGATAAAATTTGCTAAAAAGCAAAAGGGAGAACTGCAGAAAGCTGTCTGCAGATCTTAAATAGGAGAACCATGCCATAGCTACAGGAAAGGCAAAGTATGTTCTTCTGAAGTTGAAGAATGTTGACATTCAGGAGGCCTAATTAAAAAATCTTACAGACATAAAATGGTGACAATTATTTAGCATCTTCACAAAGCTGAGAAACAAGCAAGCAGTTGATTTTTCCTTCCTTCCTTCCTTCCTTCCTTCCTTCCTTCCTTCCTTCCTTCCTTCCTTCCTTCCTTCCTTTCTTTCTTTCTTTCTTTCTTCCTCCCTCCCTCCCTCCCTCCCTCCCTCCCTTCCTTCTTTCCTTCCTTCTTTCCCACATCTCTGGCATTTATACGTTGTTGTTGCAACAGGGGGAAAAAAAACACAAATGACTACCAGGTTCATTCCATTTTACCAAAAAGTAGAATGAAAGTGCTAAAATGTTAACTTTCCATAAAACTATCTTTATATTTGTTCAGTACAAGTTAATATATAAGAACAAAAGTGAGGTGTTTCTTTATGTAGAATGATTCATATTTCCTTTTAATTTTACCTTGTATTATTCCACAAACTTTTCTATGTAATGTTTGTATTTTGTAATTCGTAATTTTTGACTTTTTTCTCTTTCTCATTTTAAAATTAATAAATAATAAATCTTAAGCTTAGGTTCCTATACTGACTGGTATACATTAGAATATGCTTCATATGTATTGAGGGAAAGAAAGAAGGATGCATCATTTTAATACTATATACAAGGATTGTCACTAGATGTTATCCCAATTGCTCCTAATAGAAGAATAATCACAATCTTGCACTTTCCATGCTATCATGGGCCTAGACAAAGGTCCCTTATGAGATACAAAAGCGATTTCTCAAGTAATCCAATATGAAATTAATTGTAGTAATATCCTCCATGTACATTTTATTTTTATTTTATTTTGTTATGGGGATAACTATGTGAAAACCTGAGCACTAGCATCCAGAGAAGGGAGGAATGGGAAAGGTAAAATCCAGAAGAGTCCTCTGCTTTTATGTTACACACCATGAACTTTCCAACAATGGTTTCTCCAAAGCTGCTATTTACGTTTAGAGGGAACCTCCATAGATGCAGCAGTTTTTCTTGACGTGCAAATATTAGTTTTGCACAGAGGCAGGAAAGGAAGAGTTACAATCCCATAACAACAAAAAAACAGCAACAACACCTGCCACTGATGAGGCATGCTTCTAGCTTATATTTACATAAAATTTCATTCCTATTTTTGTCTGGCTTTTTTTTTTTGCCCCTCAGTTATAGAACTCATTAACTGAAAAACTAGTAAGAAATATTATTTTCTTTCCTTTCTTCTGGAAGCAGGGACAGAGGGACAGAGATTAGAAAAGAATAAAGCCAATAATGAGACTTCAATCTTCAACCACAAGTCAATGGTCATTTCCATTTATCATGCTGGGATCACTGAAAAACTCCCCTCCTATATGAATCACTAGTTCCCAATACTAGTTCTTTTAGAAATTGTATTGATGAGAATTATCAAAGCTGGCTTCGATAATCCAGATGACCATAAAGCAATTTTGGAAAGATTTTGAGTTTTCAGACAAATGACAGATAGGGAAAAGCTCAAATATTGAAAACATTTTATGCCCTGCTTTCCATCATACAGTTACAGCAATGGAAGAAACACCACAAACCAAGGACTAGAGATATCCAATAGTTTGAGGGGAAAAGTAGGCCTTTTCAAAAACTGAAAATTTTCCCCACAGAGAGCATCAATCTCTATATTCTCAAATTGTAATGTTTTGTAAATATATCCTATCTACTAACCCAATTACAGCAGAATATTACATTTTTTCAAAGCTACTTATAATTCTTAAACCAAAAGGGACAGTCTATCTTTTAAAGCTTGATTGTACACAAATGATGTATGTTATATACAGTATATATATATGTATGAATCTTTTCTCAACCCTTTCTCATTTGCTGCATTTTAGAATTACTTGTAAATGTGTTTTTCTATATCAGACACATTGCAGGATGATGTACATTCATGAATGCCTATTATACAACTTATTCTTCTGATCTGATCTGTATGCATATTAAAAGGAAGATAAGATCACATGTAATCAAGGTTTCAGATTTTCATTTCTAGAAAAAAGGATGCCACAGCTCAAGTCTTACTCAATCTTTTGATTTGGAAGAGCATTGCACCCCACAAATACATACACACACAGAGGGAGAGGGAGAGGGGGAGGGGGAGGAGAGAGAGAGAGAGAGAGATTTGATCTTTCTCTGAAGCAACAGAACCCCAATTTGCACCTCCATCTATAATGATTACCCTCCAAATATGACATTGCTCCTTAAATAATGCTTCCTAAAATCTTCCAATTTCCTTAAAATTTTGGGTTTATTTTCTCCTGGAGAAAGAATCTTATGTTTTTCTTCTATCCCCTTTCAAAAGGATTTCTCACTTTGTTGTCATCAGGTGGCAGAGAGTTTTGGTGTTTTGAGATAGGTTGATAAGTGCCGTGGTTGTGTTTATCTTGATATCACCGTGAGTAAAATATCACAAGTGATCCATCTTATAACTGGAATATTGTAGCCAGTCAAAAAAAAAAGTAACAGTACAAGGCTATTGTACACAGCAGACAAAATAGGATACCAAAAATGGCATCAAACAGTATCATGATTGTATAATATCGCAAGAAAAACAGGGTAACGATTAAATCAAAATCATGAATCTATGAACTAAATCATATGAGTAACTACAAAGCAGAGATGATCCTAGACTTCTCTCCAACTGTTTGGTGGTTCTTAAACTCATTATCATGATAAAATAGAATGAATCAATGCCCTGTTGGTTCGTTTTTAGTGGTACCCCATCATCTAGAACTTGAGACATATTACCAACCTGCCCAGTAATTGGACCAGTTCTATTACAAACTATCAGCTGCATCTCAGTGGTATAAGTCCAGATACAATAGAAGCAGCAGCATTATCAGCCTTTTTCTTATATTTAGTGTTCAACAGAAAGTTGATTGAGATCGACAATAGTCCAAGTTTGAAAAAGATTTCCAGAAAAGCAGGAGTGACACCAGGACAAGACTTTGGGGCAAAAACTAAGAGAAGATCCCAACATGGCGGCAGGACTAGTGTTTACCATATTTGAAATACTGCACAATGTCAGCTATTGGATTAGGGAGACCATTCTGTTCAAATGCTAAATGAGTGTATTATGCCAATTTCTAGAAAGAGTACTAAGAATGTTAGTGAAATACTTTTATTTATTTTTAGATATTTTTAAATTTTCATCTTTATTATTTTTATAAATAACTAAAGGTGGCAAGCACACACAATACTTACTCCTATTTTTCGCATAACCACAACCCTGTGAGGTGAGTTGGGCTGACAGAAAGTAACTGGCTGTAAGTGAATCATCTGGCTTTCATGCCTAAGGCAGAACTATAACTCACAGTCTCCTGGTTTCTAGCCTGATGCCTTAATTACTAGACCAAACTTTGCTAAGAAGCAGAAGAATTGTTCTAGTCCTTTGTCTTGCAGATGTATTAACCACTGAAGAAAAGGTGAAGTGAAACTCTTCATTAACTGCTATAATGATATGAGTTTCCATCCTCACTTCACATCTTGCTTGCTTATTCTGCTTCCCAGTCATGTGATCAAACAAGGTTCAGAATATGAAGCTCTTGAAAACATAAATAGAAATCACTTTTAGATTCACCTATGTCCAAATATTGGCTGATGAGAAAATGAGAAATGAAATTTGCTGGCTATGAAAAAATAGACTATGTATTTTAAAAATAGGAAAAAATGTGAAAACTATCAAGGCCATCCAGATGCATTATAGAGGAAATTCCATTTTTGTGACTGGTTTGCATTGTGCAGATGGAAACAAAAATGAGAATGTTCAGTGATTTGCTTTATGAGCATGAACATTTTAAGGATCGCTTTTTTATTTGAAATGTTTGGGGGTTAAGGACTCAAGTGCCAAGAACCAAAATCACAGAAATGAACAGCTTTGAATTAAATTGAAGATACACAGAGCAGCTTCACATCGTGACAGTGTGGTTTGTTTGGCTGTATCTTACTACATATTACATGAACTCAGATATTGGGGTGGATTAATGGTGATTAATAGTGATATGTGATTTAGTGTGTTACACTAATCCAACCAAAGTAACTGAAGTTACTTTTAAAACCATGGTTAAATAAACCACACATATGTGTGAACCAAGCCACTGCATTTTTTTCCAGAACTATTATGAAGCAGGACATTTTTTTATGCCTATAATTCAAACTAGGCCAAAATCCATTAAACAATGGCATAGCTTATTTAATAATATGTGTTCACCCTGGTGATATGTCATGTATAGTTTATGGCTATCTGGCCTCTTGGGATAAACTAGATAGGAACCACAACCAGATGAGCTAATTCTATTTCACTGACAGTCTTGAAAATTTGAAGTTACAGTCCTCTCCCTTCCCCTCCGTTACAGCCTGAGAAATTAGGGAGGCCTTATCTGAGCCTCTAACTCTGTAGGTTATACTATCTCATATCTGACTGTTCCCTTAGCAGTATTTCTTTGCCCAGTCTCTCAAGGTTTTTCCCACATATCATTACCTCAGCTTTGCTTGAGAGACAAATTCACTCCTCTGTGGTTTATTCAGCAAACCAAATTTATATATTAAAAAATGAGATTTACAGTAATGCAGTGTTGCATTAGATCTGTATTTTGAGACTTGTTTGCAAGAGAGTTTAAAGATAAAGTGGCACATTAAGGCTAATATCACCGAATACTTTTTCAGCAATTTCCTCCCTTGTTTCAGCTTATACAGCTAGGAATGGAAGCAC